CATAATTGTTATGAAAAATCTTGCTTCTAGTCTTTCAAAAATGATTAAAGTTTCCCTAGCAAGGGTTACACCATATTGATAATTTATCTGTCGTTTAGCAAATTCATATAAAAACAACAACGTTGTTTGCTCAAGGGAATGTTTAGTCTCTGAAAAATACTAAAAAAACGTCATTAAAGCATTATTAGGTGACTTGCCGCGGGTATTGGCGAYGAGCAGGTGGGGACGTCATAAAACACAAAGTCCTTAAAATCACTCTCCACGCTCGTTGAGTGCTCTGCATTATCCCTCAGTGTTTTATCTTAACGATGATCCACAGGCAGTCCATTCTTTTTTTTTATGATATAGAGAGACGCCTACAATTCGAGAGTATTCCTTTAAATGTCGCAAATATAAAGCGCGCTCTGAAACATTTGGTACATGCGTAAAAACGAATAATAAAGTCGAAATAAYGTGCTAAATTATAGATATATTCATTTGATAAAAAACTTTGTCTAAATTTCTGATTTTGTTGTCTTTGGTATTGATAAAATGTTTTCTAATTTGTTAGCGCTTCGCCCAAATGTATCATAAATCACACTTCCAAAAACTTGTTGCCCCAAACTGTGCATTTGATAYTTCACACTGGGCATCTACAATAGGTTTTGCTCTTTCTGCGGAACTTCTGAAAATATTTGAATTAACTGCCCTCAGCTACGAAGACAGCACGTCTGCAAATGAGCATTGTATTCTAGCGGTCCTAGTGACGTCTTCCAATGTTCAAATCAACGGCGTTTTTTACGTGTCAACATATGATTCAAAAGCACGCGCAATTAGCGTATTTATAGCAGTTTGGTGCTGGCTGTWWTTTTCAGCAATTCATAAGCCTGGTGCAGCTGATTGTGATAGATTACCATAGATTGTCCATTTATAAAAGCCGCAATATCCAAGTTTACTTTACTAGTTGACAAGTAAAGACAGGACCATGAAGAGTTTAGCTGTATTGGTATCATTTGCCCTGGTTTCCATGATTTTAGCAAGA